GAGAGAGAGAGAGAGAGATTATTTTTGGGTTTCCAGGAAGAACAGGCTTACAATTATGGCATTTTGAGCCCTTTGTCGTGATTGTGAAACTATGGGAATTAAACCAAAGTAGTGTGACATGTATGTCCTAGGCATCTCGTAAAGGCAACCAAACCAGGCAATGGTTTGTAAATTAGTCCATAATGATAAATAACCTAATCAGGACATCTTATATTTATAAGTCCCATGCAGGCTGCATGTGTGGTAAAATCATATACAAAATTTTTCTTAGGCAATTGTAGAATGAAATCTCTATGAGAGGTTGGTGGGTAACACTTCTTGCGATGGTCCATATAAACGGCTCACATAATTTCCAATTTGTTTTGTCAAAAGGAGTGCAGTAAGATATTGTAATGTGGACATTAATGGTAATAGAAACCTAATGATAATAATCGTACAATGGGTAGCTAATAGCATTGCAGTGACTCGTTGAAGGGCAAGAAGTGACATCTAATCTAGCATATGCTATAAACTGGTTGGTATTCGAGTGTGGAGATTCCATGAGGTGCAGTCCCTCATAATTTAGATGAGGAGGGTGAAAGCTGGTTCCACATAATCCTTGTCCTTGTGTTTTAGTCATTGTTCTCCCTTTCTTTAGGACTTCAGTGTATTGGATATGTTTTTGTACAAATACATCTTTTGATTTGACTGTTTACTGCATAGTTTTAACCTTGTGTATCAGTTACTATCTTGTTTTTGTTGTATTTGCAAGCACATTAAAAGTTTTTTTTTTTTGTGGGTAATTCAGTTGGGACGACAGGCCCCTACCCATTTTTTCAAGTAGAAAGCACGTTAAAAATTGAGCATATCTTTAAACTATTTCAAAAGACTTTTGGCTTCGTTTGTGAAAAACCATTTGTAAACTACACCAATGGAATCTGTCACAATTTCTCCCTAGTCTGATGAGAATCATGGATATTGGAGAAGTGCACTAGTTGGATATCTACCATTTGTTCCCTATGATTGATGGTGGAGATGAATTGTAAATGTCACTGAATAACACTTAGGTGTGTGTAGTCAGTAAATGCCGTCTTTCATTGTGAATTGAAAGCCAATGCCACCATGATGTACCGTAAATCACACATTAGGGTGCATGGTAAATTTTTATTAAGGGATTGTCTACAAAGAGACCATTTATCTTTATTACAAGGAGGTCACAACTATTCCCACTCATTAAATGTCAAATTGGATGGCTTGGGGTGAGTCATGAAGTGCGAGAATTTTTTTTTTCGGAACTTTGTGTATATTCAATGACACTCTTCTAACCACCCATTTTGAAATTAAAGGACAAGAATGATTGTGACCTCCTTATACAAAAAGTAAATGGTCTCTTTGTAGACAATCCTTTTTTACTAAAGGTAATTCCCTGAATCTTGCATTAGCAGTGTACCATATTTTCCTTTTGGCATATTACTGTTGTTTCTATCTTCAGCATGTGGTTCACCGCTTAAATAGTCTCTACTCCATAGGATCATCACTGTATGGACAGTTGAGACTGATATCCAATATCAAAGTCATCTGATGTTCTGGGCAGTCTGACTTTGTCTCCATAACCGTCTGACACGTTAATTGGATGGTGATGACCCTCATGCCAGATGTCGATGCAATCATGAGATTCCAGTACACAGACCCTTTTTGGAAAATGAGACCCCACATTTAAAGCCGTCTGAAAAAATTTTGTTACAGTCTAAAATAGAGCGGATATCGATGAGAGAGAGAGAGAGAGAGAGAGAGAGTACGTTACCAACTATTAGAACGCT